GAATTCCTCAGCCAGCCATGCTGGCTGAGGAATTCTGGGAGGGGAAGTCCACCCATCTGAAAGTTGCCAAGGTTGAGAAACACTGTACTAGAGGCTTAACATATCTAACATCCATTTTCAGGGGGAAAGGGCAAAAATTCCACTACAGCACTTCCATGCCCCTTATGGCCCTCAAAGTCGAGGAGGAGGAGGAGGAACTGGAAAGGATTACAAATTCACTCAGGTTTGCAAATAAAAATTGCAAACATTTGGAAGAAATCAACAGTGGTACTATTATTATTAGGATGCCAAGTGCAATACCATGAGGACTTAGAATCTGGACTGTCTAAATTTGGAACAATTTACAACAGCCTAACTCTAAACAAGAGCAATGTTGGGCATCACATACTTAAGTAGCTGTTACCTTTATGATTTCCAAGCCCAAAACATAAAGAAAGCTGGTGTACAATGGCTGCAACACATGATTACTGGAATTGGATGATGATGATGATTAAAAAAGTGTGGGGCTCAATGATAAAAAGTGGCTTGTCTCGGGTGAAAAATTAGGGGTCAGCAATATGTCCCCAATAAACGGCAAGCTCTGCCCTCTGAATCCACTAACCTTCTCAAAAGACCCATAAAGGTCTCTCCAGCTCACGATGAGCTGCGCCTTTTTCTTGCCAATGCGATGTAGGGCCATAAGATCCTTCACAGAACCTGAGTTCAGGAGGGACAGGATATTAGTCTTGCTACGCGCCAGTAGATCTGGACGGACCTCCACCTCCCACTCGGGGGGAGCCTTGTTTTCAGAGTCAAAGGCTGAAGTCTGAAACATGGAAAGAGAGAGTGACCAGTGGTTGCAACAGCCTTTTTAAGCCACCTCCCTTTTTTATATAGCCATTTATCAACTCCCACCTCTTATTAATACCAACAAGAATCATGGTAAAGACATGATTGTCTAAGCTATGAGATCTGCTCAGAGCTTTCCCCCAAAAGACTGATTATCCATTAGCAAAACCAATTTGCCTACATCAGAATACACTGTTAGGCATCTGTTGACCCTCAATGATTGGAGGGTTACTGACCAACAGTCTGGATGTTCCTCAGTTCCCTGTACACTGAAGCAGTGATAAGACCCAGAGGCACTATCAGGCTTGAGAAGTCTCTGGATAGTTATTTCTGGGGGCTGCTCCCCCATTGCCCAAACTACCCCACCATTGACCTGCTTTTATTTAGTGACAGTAATAACAAAACTAAAGATGTAGGGTGATTTTTTTCCTGTGGAAAATATTTTACCTCAGGAATGTTTGGCGAATTCGAAATTGAATGAGATGTGTTTTGCAGGGGATTGTATTAAAAAAACTGAGAAGCTAAAAGTACACTGCTGCTACATATTATTTTATTACCTATTGCCCAATGCTCTTTTCAAAATTTCAATAAAAATAATTTTTATTCAAGTATCAGTGCTTTTAGTTTCTGTAAATGTAATTCTCAGACTTCATAAAAGAGGCTAGATTTTATTTTTCCCCATCTCAAACAATGTCGCTCTAATACCTGTGCAGACAATGACTAGTGAGACAGATATGCTAATTGCATCATACTCATTGGCCAAATTTCCCAGGAAGTCCACATCTCTAATGCCGAAACTTCAGCACAGCTACCTCATCCGCATGCTAGCCCTCCTGTGCTGTTGAAACTGTCAGACAATTTCAGACAGAAGCACTCCCCTGAGTGTGATTAGCAGGCAGTAGAACCAATCAGATGTTTTGGGGACACATAGCCAGTGAAGAAATTGGAATGGTGAGACAGCAAGATTTCTAATCTGGTGACTCCAGTGACCACAAATCTAAATGGCAGCATCTGATTGGTTCAGTTGCCTCTTCCTTACAGGTTGGGTCACTACACTGTCTAATCCATTGTTTGGAATATCTCCTTCTGGTTTTGTGTAATCTATAAACCATAGGTTTTTGCTCATTGTGTTTATGAGCCCAGCCAACTGTGGCATAGTCAACAAACTATTATTCAAGAAACCAGAACTTAGTAGATATAATAACTTATTATTCTACAGGTTCTTGGATTGCAGGGTACATCTCTGTTAATTAAAAGCAAGGAAATTATTAGTATGTACCACTGGTTTTATAATATTTCCTTCTCTTTAGACAATTGTGTGTTCAGACCTCAAAGGAGAACACAAAGACCTCTTGCACCGAGGCATCATAGCCAAGATCCCCATACTTGGAGCTACCATTGGTTGCCTGAATTCCAAAGTTCAATCCCCCATTTGTACAGGGAGATGGGAAGGCTCCTCAAGCCTACGTAGTAACCTGCATGAACCAATATGGTACCCTATCCCAGCTTTCCCCAAGAATGGGACCTCCAAAAATGGTTCCACTCCTAGTTCCTATTAGCTGCAGTCAGCATGGCTTAGGATGCCAGCAGCTAACAGAACATCTGGGAAGCATAGGCTCCCAACCTCAATTGACAGGTTGAAGTTGCCCCTTCCCAGGAGATACCTCTATTTGTAAGCTGCCTTAAAAACCTGTGATGCAGTATATCAAATTGGCCAAGAAAGTTCTTCCATCCTTCACCAAAATGGAGCCAAAATCTATTTACTCACCTTCCTCTTTCGGCCTCTCTTCTGTTTCAGGATAACAACACCTTCCTCCTCTTCCTCACTCTTGACAGGTGTCTGCACTAGATAGAAAATAAAAGCAAGTTGGGACCTTGTAATATAGGAGAAAAAGGGAGGTCCGACTTCAAAAACTTTCTGAATCTTCTCACCTTGCTGGAGGGGCAGTACTGTGGCCTGTTTTCGGGGTTTTGCAGCTCGGGGGAAAAGTACAGAGTCTTTCCGCTTCAGAGCCTGGGCTTCCATCTCTAGCTGCTTTTCCTTAACGCTCTAGAAGAAGTGGGAGAAGAGCAAAATAAGAGCCAATTTAAGATGCAGGTGGGGAGAGAGAAGAAGCTTCCATGATGTCTTTGTGGAAAAGGAAAGACTAATAGTTTGGACTAATTGGACTAATAGTTCAACCATGATCTTACAGCAGTCAGTCATCACCTCTGTTTGTACAAACCTCTCTCCCTTCAACACACAAGAGGCATAGAATTTCATTTATATCAATAGCATCTGTCATGGTATCTACTTGGGATTACCTGCTCTATCCAAATCCCTCCCTTTTTGTTTAATCTCTCTCTCCACCTTTCCATTCAAATGAAACTGGGCCCATGCATCTGTTTCTTTGGCCTCCATCTTTCTCTTCCTCCAAGTCTCCCCTCTATCAATATTTTGCTTCTGAGTGCTTCTCTCCTCTCTTACTCACTTATTGTGTACATGAATAATACCATATGATTACTTTTTCTGAATGTGTGAACAGGACAGAATTAACACAGCAGAAAAATCAGAATATGTGTTAAAAAATTTTACCACTTTGAAGTTTAACATCTACCATTCCTACAATTCTGGAAGGTACTCTGGCTCTCATAAGCTTCCAAGAAAGAAGAACTTCCATCATAATGGGACAGACACTGAAATACTTCTTCAGGATCAGAACCAGAGTAAATATCTACAAAATCCTATTCTTCAAGGAATAGTCCACTGGACAAAGCTAATGGAAGATCCAGTCCAGCAATGTCTAGAGAGACACAGATTTCTCATTTTTAAGGCCAACAAGATACAGCTGGCAGGATGGGTGAGGAAGACACCATTATATATTCCTGTTGGGGTCAAGAGATTTAAGTTCTACCTTTCACAGAGGAAAATCTTTGTAGCTAGCTTCCTTAATAGTTGGCAAAAAGAAGTGAGAATGGCAAAAGAGAAAAGAGCAATTATCAGATGAGAGGAAATGTTTAGGAGCTCATGTTTTTCAGTCAAATGAATCCATTTGTAACTCACATACTGGCTTTGAAGACAACACATTTATTTTAAAAAGCTTCAGCTAGGCAGAAATATTCCTTCCTATGTGAAAGAGAAAATAAGTACCTCTGTTTAAAGGCTATGTTGAACTCTGCTCAATCTTCAGTATGGGTGAATTCTACTATTTTAAAAAAAAAATAGACAAAACCCAGCATGCTTCTAAAAATCTGTCTGGTGAATGAGGGCCAGTTTTTTAATCAATCAAAACCCTTTTTAACCAATTAATCAGAGCATCCATCTAAATATTACATTCCTATTCGTTATACACATTTCATCAAAGTAGAACAATAGAAACACAAAAAAAGACCTTTAGCTCACGGCGTGTCTCATCCAGTAGTTTCAGAACATTCAAGCGCTCCCTGCGTGGTGTGTTAAGGAGAGGCAACGCATGGCTCCCAGCCTGCTCTTTCTCTAAAGCCTCTAATCGTAGCAGTCGTTCAGCCAAAGCGGGCTCAAGGTTCTCCAGAGGCAGCAAAGAACTGGTATAGAAAAAGACTAGGACATGTCAGATTCCATCACATTCTTCCAACAAACCAGCCACAGAGCAACAATCCCTCCTTAATTCAGCATTTGGAGGGTGGCTTGGCCCTGTGGCATGGAAGAACTGGACTGCACCAATATCTGCAAAATACCTGGTGACTCACCTGAGTGGCTTCTCTTCTTGTAGGCAAGTTCTCTTGGCCTCAGGGCCTGCATCAGTGAAGCCTAGACAAGGCCTCTTGCCATCTGCGGAAGAAGGGGATAGCTCAATTCTGGGAATTGAAATCCACACATCTTAGAGTTGCTAAGGTTGAGAAACACTGCTTTATAGTGAAAATTCCACTCTTTACTCAGGAGGAGGCAAGGGGAACTTCTGCTTTCTTGCCTTTCTATAGCTAGCAAAGTGGCTGTGATATATGGTGGGGTGAGCTCTCTGTCAGAATGTTCAGAAAAAGATACACATTTATTATGCAGATTAAGATTAGGGTGCTACTTGAGAAATTAAGACAAGGGGAGGAAAAAAAAATCATGGATCCCACAGTCTTTAATTTACACCCAATCTTTCAGGTAGGAATTTATATAATATGAACTGAACAAAATAGAACTAAGGATAGAAAGACAGCTCTGACAAATCTATTGGAACTTGCATCTAGCTCTACATTTCTCTAAATCAGCATTTCTCAACCTTTTTACTCAGGAGGAATCTTTGAAATAATTTTCAGATCTCAGGGAACCTCTGTATACAAATCACAAAAAAATATGAACTCAACAATGCAATTCACTTCTAATCTACACAATCCACGTTTTACAACATTTACAACAGCAGCAAATCAGTAGGCCAGCAGCTGAATTGCGGTGAGTGCTAGCACTGCATTGCTTGTGAAATCCAAAAAAATATTTTTTTTCAATTACAATCTCTCACAGAATCCCTAGTGACCTCTCAACCCCAGTTGAGAAATGCTGCTCCAGATGGCTAAAAGTTTCTCACCAGAAGGGAAGCAGACTGAAAAAAGATCCCACCTCCCCATAATGAAAGGTAAAATGAAGCCACCCCTCTTCCCCTTTCATGAGCTCACCTGAGAGAGAAGGAAGCCTTCCTGCTCCTGATTGGTTGCTTAGAGTTTCAGTTTCCTCAGGCTTTGCTGGTCTCATACTACCTATATTGGCAGGTTTAGATGGGATTAACTTTTTTGTACCTGAACCTTTTGGAACATCTTTTTCTCCTTTACTACATCCATTAAGAGATGGTATAGACCTTGGGAAAGTGTTCTAGAATGTAGGCACCATGATGAAGAGGTCTGGTCCTACACTACCACCTCCGCCTAGCCTTTGTGGGTAGAGCAATTAATATCAACATTTTCTCATTTAATTTAATCATGGAAGGTTCGAGTGCTGAAGGTTATAGTGCAGCCTTCTGCAACTTGATGCCTTCCAAACTGTCAGACTTCCAGAATTCCCAACACGTTCCCCAGAAGCCCAGATCTTGCCCCCCTGACTTACCAGTTTCTGGCAGGGCTTTCTGGGTGAAGGGTTTATTCACAACTTGCTTAGACTTTGCAGCAAAGTTGAGGCTGGTGAGAGTGTCAAAGTAGTACTTCTTCTCTGGAGCAATGTTTGCAATAATCAAGCTGTGGGCACTACCTCCCAGAGAGTCCTAGAAGAAAGAGAGATTCAGGGGAGAAGATCAGCCCTTGACGCCAAATCCTTTGCCCTTCCAGAAAAAAAAAATCCCAACTACCTGTAGCAGACGGGTCAGCTTGCTGTCTCTGTAGGGAACTCGAGGCAAACCCTGATTAAGGGCATCCACCACCTTGCTGAGTACAAAGAGGGAGTTGTTGATGGCTCCACTCTCTTTCAGGCGTAGGCCTTTGTTGCCTGTTCGTCTATTGTCCTCTGAGCCAGCTAAGTCGATCAGGCACAGCTTTGCAGCCTGGGAAGCATATGTTGGCCAGCCCTGGATCTGGTTCACCCGAACCAGCAATACAGCATGACTACGGCTTGAGCGCTGGTTCAGCTGAGTTGATGCCACAGTTCGGTTGCTGCTCGCAGGCAGAAAATGGCTTTCAAAGTCTGCAAAGTCAGTGATCTCTTTCTGTGTCAAGCCTGGCACCAGGATGTTGTGGTTACGATCCTCCCGGATAGGCAAGTCTCGGGGGGAGGGCTGAAGAAGGTCCAAAACCTTAGGAATGGAGAAAAAACCCTAGTTTAGATGGTGGACATGGAACTTCAACCCCCACTTCTGACTCCTTGTTTATCTTTCCCCCAGAGAAGGTGATGCATCCCAGCAAGAACATTTTTTCAAAGGTGAGTAATCTGGGCACTGATTTTTCAGTCTTTTTAAAAACGACTTAAGAATCTTGTTTCTCAAGTGACATGATCCTGAATCAATTCTAGAGCGGTTTCTTGCCTTCCTCTCAAGACAGTAACTTCAGTTCTCGCTCAGATAAGACTTTTCCCTGCCTATTCTGCTTCAGAGACAAGAGGCTTTTTTCTCCTTAGCACTCGCTTTTAGATTTCTGTTGTTGCCATGAGAACTGTAATCCTCCAACACTGGCCATCAGAGCTGGGGCTAATGATAGCTGGAACCCAACAAAATCTTGAGAACTGTAAGTTCCCACACCTTCCTCTCTCCACTGTCTTTTCTTCACATGGCCTCTTTTGTTCTTATCCTTTTCCCTCTTCCACTCTCTCTGTAGCCATTAATTCTCTTCTGCCTTCCTCCAACCCTTAAGCTTTCGTTCTCTTTTTTCTTTCTCCTTTGCAAGTGCTCCGTTGCCATCTGCTCCTCCACACAAGTCATCATCACAGTTCCTCATCAATTCCACATAGAACAGTGGGGGGCATTAGAACATTGAGGCCTCTCTGGGGGAGCCATGGAACAGCAGAATGAGGTGAGAGACAAATGTTGCCCCACCGATCAACCTGCCAATCTCCTAGGCTAGGGTGGGTAACTTGTAGTCTTAAGGCTGCAGAGGCTTCATAGTCTATTTTAATTAGGTTCTTAGCCTAACTTCAAAATCTCCCTTCAAGAGATCAGTTGAGATTTTTGATAAGAGATATCTGTTAGGTTCTTAGTGTTCTGAGCTTGACAGTTTTCCTGCAGACATTTTTTTTACAAGTCTAGTTAGCATTGTCAATATATTGTTCAACCTTGAGCTATACTTATTCTCTTCCATAAGAAATATCTATCCCTAATTCACAGTTTACTAATTGGGGGAGAGAGGGACAGGCAGTTATCAGAAAAGAATGAAAATGTGAGGAATATCAGAAAGAGAAAATTGTGTCTAATGCCTATCCCTACTCAGTTTGGGCTCTGACTCGACCTGCCCCTTGCTTCAGTCCTCCCCACCATGTGTTCAAACAAGTTCTCCTTGAATGAAAGTAGAAAACAGATTATCCAGTGCTTCCTATACCTATCAGTAAACAAGAGGATTACATTCAGACACATTTTCCATGATTAAAAGCAGTGATAAATGCTAAATGCAGCATGAAAAGGAAATGAAAGCCCACACGCGCATCCCTCAACAGAATCATTTACTACGATCAGTTGGCCATGCTCTTTCCAACATGTCTAGCTTTTTACTCCCATTATGTTTTAAGTCCCCTTCTTCCCAGAAAAACTCCATAGTTCTGAGTCATTAAACCTATTGGGCTCAATTTCCCCTTTGCACAATTGTGTAAACCACCCATTTTTACCTTTTCTTGATAGATTTCCAGATAGGACATAGAGACTGAGTATTTGCATTTATCTCCTGTAGCATCCCGTGTCATTTTCAGGACATCTCGAACAGCTCGAGGGATCACTCCTGGCTGATCTGGACTTCCCAACATGGTGTGCGTCTTGCCTACCATTTGGCAGGAGACAAAATGAGAACAGCATAACACCATCATCTCCTCTCAGCCCAGTTCTTTCCCCCAGATGACCCCAACTCCTTGGATTCATTTGGTTTCTTTGTAGTACTGCCTTATATTCACCTGCTCCAGTTGGTCCATAAGCCAATATGCTGGCATTCTGCCCCTCCAGCAGATGGTGTAAGATAGGCTGAACTGACCCCATGTAGACATCATGTTGGGTGGCTGCCTCACCATAAAACGCATCAAACCTGGCGAAGAGTGTGTGTGAATATAAAAGGAATGTGGGACACAGGCCTACTGGCTTCTCTGAAAATCTAGTAGTTTTTCTTTAGCAGTCTTGGGAAATGAGCAGCAAATCCAGATATAAAAAGTTTCTCATTAATACAAAAGTATATAACCTGTCTACAACTCCCATACTCCTTTGCAATTAGACATGCTTGCTGAAGCTTATAGAAAGGCATCAAGTTACCTATCTTCATATATCCTCTGATATCAAAAAAAAAAAAAAATCCCAATGCCATGTATATATTCTTATGCATCTCAGCCATTTTATTTTAAGCTAAGACAGCAACAAGGTTCTTGGACTCTTTTCTCCTGCAGCTTTGAACCACAACAGACTGTTGGCATGTCTACATAACGCATCCAAGCAGCTCATTTCCACAGCATGTGCATGTGAAGAGGCAAATCATAAAGAGTAGCATGACCCACAAGAAAAAGCCTGTCATTGCACAATTCAAAATTAGCTCCCTGTGGAAAATAAGGTACACTAAGAGTCATTCAGATCTTCTGAATCCCCTACCCAACTCACTTGTATTTCATAGTCTCCAACTCATTCCTCCAGTTGAGAATTTCCAGGGAGTGGGAATCCACACCTCGTACACATGGAGAATTCTGACCTTGTCCAGTTCCCACGCCTGGGCGCAGTCGTACACAAACCCGTACTTGCTCAGGGGCATTAGCAGGGCGCCGGAAATCAGCCCGGCTTAATCGCTGATGAGTTGTCATGAATACCTATGGAGAAAAAGTACAGGATTGAACAAATGTGGCTGGGTGATTTTGGGCCAGTCACTCTCTCTCAGCCCAACTCACCTCACAGGGTTGTTGTGGGGAAAATAGGCAGAGGAAAGAGCATTAGGTATGTTTACCACCCTGAATTATTTATAAAAATAGTAAAGGCAGGATAAAAAAATATATTTAAAAAAGTTTATTAGTTAATGTATATACTATAATATCTTATGGAGGACCAACATAAGGCAATGGCAATTTTTTAAATCCCTAAACAGCTTTAAAAAGTTAAGAGAGGTCCTAGCTACGCCCCCCACGGGTATATTAGATAATAACCAAGAATATCAGGGGCTTAATTATGGAAATATCTGCTGAGAAAAGAATGGCCCATACTTGACTTCAGGAAACAACTGAGGCTATTCTTATTCAGACATTTATGGGACAACTATACCGAAACCAGACTGCCTTTACACTTACCTATTATTTGTTTCTCTTTAAAAAAAAACAAAAAAACTCTTGCTTTTAAACACACTTGGTTTTATTGCCCCTCCACCCACTATTTTGGGCATCTTTGAAGTAAAAGCAGAAATAAAATTCTGTTATTCACAGGATATTAACTTATTCAGAATTTAATATCAATAGCCTAAGTAATGCTTTATTAAAGTTTGATTAAGTTTGATCGAAAAACACGAGTTTTTGAAATAATTGGAATCGTTCCTAAACTTACAATCATACATTTCTACAGACCCCTGCTACGGCAGGGGGTATTATAAACAGTGCCCAAGGAAAAGGAAACGTAAATTCAGGGAAAAAACGGATGGGCAATCAATCTTGCATCAAGCTGCTTAACGGGAACTGCCTTCATTTTGGACGCATAAACTCCTCTGATGTCGGGTCGGAGTCCTCTTTTACAAGGAGGCTTTTGATGGGACTTGCATTTCTTTCTAAACATCTAAAAGTGGTTTCCTTTCCAAGTACCAGTTTCAAAAACAAAATTAGTGTCTCATCCATCCATTACACTCACCCTTCCCAAGTCCAATCCGCTTCACCCCCCACAAAGTCGGATTCCAACCTCCGTTTGTATTTGGCGCTAAGCCCGCCCCGGAACGGGAAGCAGACCAATGGGGGAAAAGGAAAGGAAACAAGGGTTTGCCTCTGCGCGTGCGCATCGGCCTCCGCAAGTGTGGCGTGCCCCTGCACAGTGCGAAGGGTAAGAGAACAGATATGCGCAAGCGCATTGGAACGAAAGGGCGTTGGGAGAAGACACGCATGCGCAGTAAAATATGGTGAATTTGAAACAAAAGCCGTACAAAGGGACGTGGGAGGGGTGTCACATAAGAAGACCCCCCCATTCTTATTAACACTTTCGATCTGACATTGTACATACTTTTTATGTATTTCGATTAGATACATTAGAGAACGAATCTCTCTTCTATTGGAACATAATTTTTACCACATAAATGCTCAAGGGCTAGAGCTTCTGCCCCTTCCCATATTTTTTCTTAGATGTCCAGGTCTTTTTTGTCATTCGTAAAACAGTTTTTATCTCTAGGGATGTATGAAAACAGAGGCAAAACAAATAACATTTGAAATACACAAAAAAAAATGGTTTTAGGAGGCTAGGCACAGTCCGGTAAAAAGGAAGAGGAGAAAGGGGGACAGCGCATGCGCCCCGCACGGCCAAAGCGACTCGCGCGCTTGTGCCTTTTTCGAACGCTCACGGGGCGGAATTGGATTCATCGCCCAAAGGAGCGATCGATTGTGCCGGGCTCCACTTTTGTGGGCTCGCTGGAGGGGAAAGGGGAAGAAAGCACTCGCGAGCTCCGATGCGTGGATGGGGCGGGGGAGTCGCCGAATCATTTCTCTCCTTGGGGCTTAGCGCCGCCCCTTGGAACTGGAGATGCAGTGTCTCTGAGCATACGTCGAATGCCCTTTTTGAAAAAGACAACCCGTGTCTTTAGCTTGGTGAAGTGCGCCGCTCTTCCATTGGGAGAGAGGCGTAAGGTCTGAATCCGAGGCGCCTGGTTTTTGCAAGGCAGTTAAGTACCTTGGTTCCGTGAGTGGCTTAATTGCAGCCAGGGACTTGTGCGCAGGACTGGCTTTAAGACTGCGCTTAACTTCTGTACCGAAATCCTTAACTTCGTTTGACTCACTCTCATGGTTAACATTTGGAAGTTTGGGGTAGGTCTTCAGAAAATCATGGCTCCAGATACTTTTTTTTTTTTAAGGAAGATATGAATGTGGTTTAGTATGACACTGATGTAAAACCCTGTTTCATTGTGGCTACTGATTATTTGTTCACTTCCATTAAATTATAACAGTGATGAAACATTTGTACAGAGCTTTCAAGTGGGCAATATATTTTGCATATGTTTTCTAGCTGTTATTGTTACAACTCTAGTGTGTTGTTATCTTAGTATTGCCCATGATTACAAGTAAGAGGCCTGAAGTGAAGAGAACATAGTTTGAGACCCAGTGAACTCATGTTTCAATTATTTTATTATAGTTCTATTCTGCCTTCTCCAAACTTAGGACAAGTGATTAATTAAGAATAATCAGACTCTATATATTAATTTGGAGGAAATGCACCTGAATGTAAAGATATTTAGACCTGTTTAGATTTCTGCAGGATTGTGATGTTTGTCTCCCGCCATTATACCAACTCTTTAGCAACTCAATGAGTGCCGAGACTAATTTCATCTGCATTTGTAACTCTTTTAAATTCTTTTTGTGATAATATATATTTTTCTTTCTAAATTACTGTAGGCTTTCATGAAGACTTTCCTCTCTGGGAAATCACAGGAATTAAAACCAACTTTGTGTTTTGCTTTTAATTCCCCTGGTGGAAAGGCCTTTTAAAAAACCTTCCTGCCCATTCTTGCAATACCTTGGAGGCATAATAAAAGGTATTATGAAAAGTGAGATTTGGGGATCAATTGGGCTACCACAATAACCAGACTCTTTTTCACAGCTGTGGGTTGTGCTGTGCATGAAGCTCCTTTCCATCATATACCCAGGAATGCAGAGAAATAGCCCAAAGGAAGGAGTCTGACTTCTGAATGAGAGGCAGGCAATCTTTCTGCAACCAGGGGTCACTTTTTCCCTTGTGTTTTTCCAGTTCCCAAGAACTAACTGAATATGATAGTGACAAAGTGATATAATTAGAGGGAGTGGTGTTGGAATATTTTGCTCTTGCTTCTTTTTTAGAATTGGGGTTTCTAAAGAAATTAAGTTAGATGTATTAAGTCTGCCTAATGTATGTCTGTGGAGTCCTTGGGGTTCTTTGAGCTTGGTTCTTTTCTTGCAAACGTTTCATTACCTGGCTAGGTAA